AATAAACTGCTTCTCATCTTACAGTGTTGGAATGATCCTTGTGTGCTGAGATGAGTGGCTCCTACACATTCACAGGAGTGACATCATCCCGCATCAGCCAATGAAGATGGCGGAATAAAGCATAGAGAAAAAATTGCAGGTGCCAACAAGGGACAGAGGCCGTTGGAAGAAAGGTAAGGATTCCTTTAGTTCTGCTTTATGGGGTATGCAAAAACACTGGTAAATAAGTCTTGTGATGCCATAACTAACCTTCTTTCAAAAATGTGGGTTGCCCAGCTTTTATGACGTTCCAATGGATGCATTGCTTTTGATATTGGAATAAGCATGCATTAACTAATGTCAAAATAAAGTCAGGCAATCTCTTGATTGACATACCTTATTCCATGTCAAGTGCTAAAGGAATAGGGGTTGATTTACTAAAGGTTAAAGGACTAGGGAAGGAAATTTTCCTCAGAGCTTGGTGAGCAAGGTGAAGCTGTATGGGTTTCCGTCTTCCAATCATGTGCAAGATAAAATGCTGTTTTTCAATTTTCCTTTCATGTTATTGGGCATTCTCTGCAAAGTTAAGTTTCACCACATTCTCTAAGCTTTGTGGAAAATTCCTTGTGCTGTGCAGTTTGCAGAATGGACATTCGATTTGTCTTGATCTGATCAGTAAATCAACCCCACAGAGTCAGCATGACAGCCAGGAAACAAACAATCTTTAGAAGGAGAGTTTTCCGAATGCAGCCTACATCTTTCTCACTACAACTTTCCTTTGAGCAAGGTAGCAGGCATCCAGGGGAGACAACGGTTACTGGTGCAAATCTGAAGAAAATGGCCAGATAAATCGCCATTAGAAAGAAGGTGACAGGTTTTATGTTTTTGTCTCCATAGTGACCTGTCACCTGCCATTATTCGAGTGACATTCATGAATATTGATATCTCCGCTTAATGACTATTGTGTATTAAAGAGCCTGTAAAAATTGAAGCATAAAGCCATAACACACACCGTATGTTAAATTATATGTAGTGTTTGCTCAGGCAAACATTGGCATTCTTCTGAAAATATAGTAGCATCATCTTGCATGTACTAAATCAGCTTTCAAGTGGAAAGTGGTACCACCAATCTCACACATCTTTTCAAGCTTCATTGGGCTGGACCTGCTTAGATTTTGAGCTTGCTATCAACAAGTAATGGCAAGGCCTAGCTCAGTATATCCGGCAGTACAAGCCAATAGCAGATGTAGCATCGATTGTCCACCAAATTTACCTAATTGTGATCATACTATACGTAATAACTGATAAACAGAGTCTTTAAAATGAACAATAATCTAGACTAGGACTAACTATTCCAAACAGAAAATATTTCAATATTTTTTACTTCAAATGAGAAAGTAAGTGATAATAAAACTCAATCTTATGTATACTTCAATGATCATAAACACACTTGTTTAGCTATTATGTCAACAAACACATATAATAAAAATTCTGTGGGTGGTACTTGCGTTAAAAGCAGAAAGTGTATCTCTTGACTCGCAATCTGGAATTAGTATAATGTATGCTTCATTTCATGCTTTGTTAAAGAGTAGACTGTTTTAATGCTTCCCGCACGGCAGCCAAATGAGGTATTAGTCAAAATTCTAGAACCATAAAATGGATTTAACAGTAACGTGTACTGTAAAATGAAAAAGCATTGCATTAGTGAAGTAGTCTAGGAAGCCAAGTAACCAAAGGTCAGTATTTGGTACTGCAAAGCACAATTAGCAAAATTAGTCATATACAAAACAGGAATAGAAATAGCTGAAATAGGTTATCCAAAAAGCGTTATTCACAGGGAAAATTGCAACGGCAATCATACAGATCCAAAATGTTTTTAAAAGGTCTCCAGATTTGAACAAACCTTGAGATATTTATTATTCGATTTTTGTTATAAAATTTAGTGCAGATTCCATAATTCATTAATCCTAATCACTCTACACACAACCCACTCAAATCCTCCCTCGATACAATTTTAAAATTCTAACGATACATACCTTAAATCCCTGTGTCTTCACTGTCACAGTGGTGGGTGGCACTCTCCTGCATAGGTTCATATTATGAGTGTCTTCTGTTGAAAAAATGGAGAACCAAATATTCATAGCTTTATACAATTCAGAAAAGCAGGTTCCCCATGTTGTTGTAATTTAAAATGTAGCAGGTAGACCTTGAAAACACTTACCCATCTTCTAGATCCACAGTTCTGAGTGTGGAAAAGGCATAATTGGCTGAAAGTAGATAGTCAGAGGCTCTATTTAGCTGCCTCTGCTTGAGACACAGAGCCATATGAAGAAGCTAAAGTGGAAACAGAGACCAAAACTGTCCAGACTATGAGGAACCTTTCTCTACGAGAGAAGTATTTTTTTTAGGTCTAGCTATTCATTTTTTAAATGGTTGCAACATGGAGAAGCTGCAAAACAATTTTTGTTTTAGGCCTGTGTTAAGGAAATATATTGCAGGAACAACTGATTGTGCTTTACATATGTGTAAATTGTGTAGATGTAAATCCATAAAAACCTTCTTATTTATAGACAAGTGAGTTTGCTGGGTATTTTGTTTAAGATAGGAAGCCTGTTCAGAAATATTTCAAACACAACTTTTGGAGACTTTACCTGCAAAATCTATTTGCCATATTACCCATGTCTGTTCTAATCTTCCCTGTTTTCTTGCACTATTGGTCATTCCACTCTTTCAGTTGCACTTCATATAATAAAAAGGTAATGAAGAGTTCAACAAGTTGTGTGAGCACCCCCAGAGGCTTAACTAGAACCTTCAGGGCCCCAGTGCAAGGAACAATGAAGCCCCCCCCCCTCAGCATGGGCCCTTCCCTCCTAGCCCGGAGTCCTTCCCACTGATCCCAGCACCCATTACTCCCCTCGTGAGGCCCTTTATTACTGTGGCAGATCGCCAGGGCCCAGACGCAATTGAGACCTTTGCAACCTTGGTAATTCTGCCAGTGGCGTCAGTAGGACTGTGAATAGTGTCAGTAGAGCAGTGAATGGAGGCACTATGGCCGTGTACTTTGTCAGTAATGCAGTGGATGTGCTCAGTATGGCAGCAAAGGAGGGCGGTAGTTTTTAATTTTGTTAATTTATTTTTGTAATTATGTTTTACCATGTTATTATATTTATTTATTTCTTTTTTTTTAATTATTTTTTACAATTTTTTAGGAGCCCTGTTTGGGGCCTTTGGTGAGATATTAGGGGTCTAAACATACCACTGATGTTTCCACTTCGAGACAGAGAAAGGAAATTGAGGACACAACCCTCAATCTCTATCTTTGCATTCTCAGCTATACAGAATTAATGTACAGGAATAACTCTGTACAGAGCTTCCCACTCATTCACGGTACCAATCACTCACTGTGTCCATTCAGAAAGGAAGGGTAAGTGACACATTTACCGACCCCTTCCCTCACTCTCTATCCTGAAAGCTTCACCCACAGCAGCCAGCAGGAAAGAGGAGGGGGGATTCGGCAGCCCGGCAGGGGGGGGGGGGGCAGGGAGCACACAGGAGAAGCAGGAAACAAGTGTCAACTGCATCATACAGGGCTAGTAGATGGATTTTTGTCCATACAGGCAAAGGTGCATTTTGCCACTCCACCCACCACCACCATCTTCCTGCCAAACCTGCCACACACAGTAACACACATCCTGTATTATAGTGCCCCAGCTGTAGATGAACGAGCACAAGAGGCATCTTCAGTCTTGGGGAAGGGGAGTGTTAAATGCAGTAGCAGATTTAAATACACTAACAAACTGAAGCCAAACTCCAGCTGATACTTTTATAAGTATATAAACAAACAGTTTTCTTTTCTTTCGGGATGAAGGTTTTACATAAATAAATAAAAGCTGATCATTGTAAGCACCCCTGTCAGCGGGAGATGGTTTGTCATATCCCTCTAACTGCTACATCTTCAGGAGAGCTTGTTCTGTTGAAAAATAACAGACATACAGCCTGGAACACCAGATGAAAATAAAAGAAAGAAAGTCTAAAAAACAAAAATAATGCAGCCATCACTTTTAAGAAGGGTACCTGGGCAGTGTGACAGGAGGGGGGCAGTGTGACATAAGAGGGAGGCAGAGAGGGGGGTAGTATGACAGGGGAGTGGAGCATTGTTACAGGAGAGGGGGGACAGTGTGACAGAAGAGGGGCAGAGAGGGCAGTATGACAGGAGAGGGGGGGCATTGTGACAAGAGAAAAGGGCAGTGTGGCAGGAGGGAAGGACATGTGAAAGGAGAGGGGGTCAGTAGGAGGGAGGGGTAATGTGACAGTGGGACACCTAGACACACTATTCTGGTTCAGGTGCTGGGCACGTTGTATTCTTTTAGACTCTGCTGTGGCAGAGAATGTGCAGGTTACCAGAAGCAGCTGCTTAGTGGCAGCTAGCGTTTTTCTTACCTTGTGCAGCGGCAGGAGCAGCCTGGAAGTAAGAAGCGGGAGCCAGAGTCAGGGATGGAGCCTGGAGATGGAGCTGGTGGTCCTAGCTGACTGCTTTTCTTTTATCAATGTCAGATCTTGCTCACGGAATTGTTGCACAGGCTGGATAGGAGGGGCTGCAGAAGAAACAATCTTTCTCATGGCTCCTGTAGGACTTTCAGTAGCTGCAGGAGGAAATCGCTTCTTCTATATGCTGCCCTGCCGCCCCACCTATCCAGGTTTAAACAAATGTGACAAGGGAGCCACACAGTCCCTCTGCAGCATGGGGCTGGGTCACAGTTGTGCCTCCTGTGACCCCTATAGTTATGCCACTGATGCCCCATCATAACATACAGGTTAGGTGAGCAGATCTAGAATCCTGACACAGAGATCTGACCACTGGACACTACAAAATATATGAAAGTAATTGACAAACTTCTTGGGCGCTAGTAACCAAAAATGAGGTCTTGTAGCTTGTGAAGGCTATAACTACAGCTGCTCAATAAACCATAGGAGACATATGTGAATAGAACAGTAGCTGATACCAGGGGCAGACTCACAACTTATGGGGCCCCCGGGCAATAGGGGATCATGGGGCCCTTGTGTCCTTGCCCAAACTCAAAAAAGCCTATGAAAAAGGTACCAGGGGCATCTCATGGGGCCCCATACTGACCCCGAGCCCTCGGGCAGTGCCCGAGTTTCCAAATGGTCAGTCTGCCCCTGGCTGATACTGAGTGCTATTGGTATAGAGCCAAATTAATAGTGACCAGTAAAGTATTAAAAATTACCAAGGATGATGACAATATTATACAGAGTAAAAAAAGAAGGATTTTATTATCCATATCAATAGGAATTAAAACTATTGTTCATAGTCATATGTCCAATGTAAACGAAGGAAAAAGTGGGTGGCATATTCCAAATGTGTGAATGTTGTCAATAAAATTGGCTTGCTGCTGAGGAAACGTACATCTGGACCAGGGTGCAGGAGATGGTGGAGAGGAATCCTGTGGGCTATACCGCCCATTTTTTCCTTTGTTTACATGGGATATATGACTATGAACAATGGTTTTAACTCCTTTCAAGTGGATAATAAAATCCTTCTTATTATTCTGGATAATATTGTCATCATCCTTGTTAATTTTTAATACTTTACAGGTCACTATTAATTTGGCTCTATACCAGTAGTGCTCAGTATCAGCTACTGTACAAAATATATGAGACTGCTAGTGTAGGTGAATCAATCTTCAATGTTAACCATGAACTGAAATAACAGATTTCATGGACTCACCCTATAACCTGCTCTGATGGCTTAAACAATGACAATTATGTTAAATGCACTGCTTTTGTTAAGAAGACCATATAAGTATTCAGCTTTCAAATAAGTGATATTTTATTGCTAACTAGATTATATGTAATTGGGCGTCATTTGCATTTTTGAAGGTAACTGCATATATAATGTTGGTGATGGATTAATCAGTAGTTAGTTATGGTAAAAAGAAACAAATGATGGTTAAAGAATTAGAAATGACCATTTACGGATATTTCAAAAGCCTGCTTTTAAGTCTATCCACTTCTGGTAGAAAATAGAATATTACATGTAATCTCCCAACCTTTCAGGAAAAAAGGGAGTACTTAACAGAATAAAGTGACATGTATACAAAAGAGAAATATGGGCTCCAAGAAGAACATTTAACTTTGAGTGCCTCACCGTTGAGAAATGAAATACTAAAAGAGAATTTCAAATAAATTATGCTTTTTGAGAATTTATGTGCAGTCTTGGATGAAAACAGCTGAATTTTGCCAATATTACATCCTTTCTGTGGGGAAAATACTTGATTGCTAAATTATTTTTTACTTCCAGTAGCAGGCGTACTACCTGTGCAGCACACTAAATTGTTACATATGTTGATTAGAAATGGCCTATTTGGGGGACCAGGCAGTCAGAGCCTACTTTTTCACCTTATTGGAGTGGCACAACCCCAAAAGGGAGGTCCTAAAATGTTTCTACTTTAACAAAAAGCTAAACTGCTGGTAACTTGCTGTGCCTGCATGTACCTATGTTAGTCTTCAAATCATTGTCTAAGTAGAAGTTGTACAACAATGTACAATGTACAATGTACGTCAGGGATCCCTGAATCCTAGGGCATGCAGAAATGTATCTAAAGATTAATTCAAAGTACTTACAGGCACTAAAAGATATCTAAAATTTAGCATTATTGTCAACATAGTCTTCAAAGGTTCACTGTAACTGTATGAGGGCTATGAAATGTAATTTACGTTTAATGGAGCATGTAAAATGAGGAAGCTGACACTACTAGTGTTTGTGACATCAGTAAGGAAAAGGCTACAATGAATAACAAAGTTTGCCCTTTACAAAGGTAAATGGACAGGTGTTGCTGGCACAACATACTGTAATGTAGATACTGTATCATTTCCAAGTGAGGGCCAACTTTGGCAAGAAGGAACTATGCCAATATGACAAGTATATATGCAAAGTAGAGAACAGCAAATCTAACTGACTGCCCTGTATTTGTTAACAAGTATAAGGCCATCTGTTGCATTATCTATTAAAATATATTAATAATTCCATGAGAGACAGACATTTTACATTTTAAGATACAATGGTTGCAATTTTTTGAGCAAGTAAAGATCCCCAAGGGTTCTTGTACCTTTTCAGTGATAAGCAAGCCATCTAGAAGCAGACTGCAAAATATTTACTAAACTCCCCCTCTACCAAATCACCCCGATTCACAATCAAGTCTTTTTTTTAATACTGACTAATGGTGATGAACATCAAAGGGGCCCAAGATAGTATGAACAGAGTTCCCCTTCAATCTTTGATCAAAAGTTAAGGATTTCAATAAATTGTCATGAAAGTTGTCCATTCTAAAATGAGTGGTAATTAGAGATGAGCGAATCGAACCAGGCGAACCGGAATTCGATACGAAATTTCAGGAAAAATTCGATTCGCGTCGAATCCGAATATTTGCCTACTTCGGGTGCGCGAATCGGATTTTTCCCGATCAGCCGGCAAAAGTGTCCCTGCAGAGAGCTCCGCTATTTCTGACAGTTCTCTGACAGAAGGAACACATGTACAGCGGTTGAAACATTGTATCTATTAGTTTCCATTTAGGATACAGATGTTTCAACCGCTGTACATGTGAAGAAGCTGTCAGAGAACTGTCAGAAATAGAGGAACTCTGCACATACACTTTTTGCCGGTTTGGAATTCTTATTTTCATCCTACTTCTTCTTCTTCTTCTACTTCTTCATCCTCATCCTCATCCTCAGAAGAAGAGGATGAAGATGAGGATGAAGAAGAAGAAGAAGAAGAAGAAGTAGGATGAAAATAAGAATAATTCCAAGCCGGCAAAAAGTGTATGTGCAGAGTTCCTCTATTCTGCAGATACACTTAGAGGAGCTCTGCAGATACACTTAGAGGAGCTCTGCACATACACTTTTTGCCGGCTTGGAATTAATCTTATTTTCATCCTACTTCTTCTTCTTCTTCTTCTTCATCCTCATCCCATCCAGAAGAAGAAGAAGAGGATGAGGATGAAGAAGAAGAAGAAGAAGTAGGATGAAAATAAGAATAATTCCAAGCCGGCAAAAAGTGTATGTGCAGAGCTCCTCTATTCTGCAGATACACTTAGAGGAGCTCTGCAGATACACTTAGAGGAGCTCTGCACATACACTTTTTGCCGGCTTGGAATTAATCTTATTTTCATCCTGCTTCTTCTTCTTCTTCTTTCTTCTTCTTCATCCTCATCCTCATCCTCAGAAGAAGAAGAAGAGGATGAGGATGAAGAAGAAGAAGAAGAAGTAGGATGAAAATAAGAATAATTCCAAGCCGGCAAAAAGTGTATGTGCAGAGTTCCTCTATTCTGCAGATACACTTAGAGGAGCTCTGCAGATACACTTAGAGGAGCTCTGCACATACACTTTTTGCCGGCTTGGAATTAATCTTATTTTCATCCTACTTCTTCTTCTTCTTCTTCATCCTCATCCTCATCCTCAGAAGAAGAAGAAGAGGATGAGGATGAGGATGAAGAAGAAGAAGGATGAAAATAAGAATAATTCCAAGGGCAAAAAGTGTATAGAGTTCCTCTATTCCAGATACACGGCAAAAGAGGAGCTCTGCAGATACACTTAGAGTGAGCTCTGCAATGTACACTTTTTATGGCTTGGAATTAATCTTAATTTTCATCCTACTTCTTCTTCTTCTTTTCTTCCGCTGTATCCTCAGAAGAAGAGGATGGATGAGGATGAAGAAGAAGAAGAACTGTAGGATGAAATAGAATAATTCCAAGCCGGCAAAAAGTGTATCTGCAGAGCTCCTCTAAGTGTATCTGCAGACATTCTTATGGAAACAAATAGATACAATGTTTGAAACCGCTGTATGGAGTGAATGTCCCAGAACTGTCAGAAATAGACTATTTCTGACAGTTCTGGGACATTCCCTCCATACAGCGGTTGAAACCGCTGTATGGAGTGAATGTCCCACAACTGTCAGAAATAGACTATTTCTGACAGTTGTGGGACATTCCCTCCATACAGCGGTTGAAACATTGTATCTATTTGTTTCCATAAATGGATCCATTTATGGAAACAAATAGATACAATGTTTCAACCGCTGTATGGAGTGAATGTCCCACAACTGTCAGAAATAGACTATTTATGACAGTTCTGGGACATTCCCTCCATACAGCGGTTGAAACCGCTGTATGGAGTGAATGTCCCACAACTGTCAGAAATAGACTATTTCTGACAGTTCTGGGACATTCCCTCCATACAGCGGTTGAAACCGCTGTATGGAGTGAATGTCCCACAACTGTCAGAAATAGACTATTTATGACAGTTCTGGGACATTCCTCCATACATGTCCCAGAACTGTCAGAAATAGACTATTTCTGACAGTTCTGGGACATTCCCTCCATACAGCGGTTGAAAACCGCTGTATGGAGTGAATGTCACAGAACTGTCAGAAATAGACAGAAACTGTCACAGAACTGTCCTTCTTCTCATCCTTCTCCTTCTTCTCATCCTTCTTCTCATCCTTCTCCTTCTTCTCATCCTTCTCCTTCTTCTCATCCTTCTCCTTCTTCTCATCCTTCTCCTTCTTCTTCTTCTCATCCTTTCTTCTTCATCCTTCTTCTCATCCTTCTTCTCATCCTTCTCCTTCTCCTCCTTCTCCTTCTCCTTCTCCTTCTTCTCATCCTTTCCTTCTTCTCATCCTTCTTCTCATCCTTCTTCTTCTCCTTCTTTCTCCTTCTCCTTCTTCTCATCCTTCTCCTTCTTCTCATCCTTCTCCTTCTTCTCATCCTTTCCTCTCCTTCTTCTCATCCTTCTCCTTCTCCTTCTTCTCATCCTTCTCCTTCTCCTTCTCCTTCCTCATCTCCAAGGGCATTTAAATTAAAGGTACAGTGTTCTGCACTAATTTAAAGGCTCTCTGAAGCCTAGAAACCCTTTTTATAAGTTAACTTCGTAGCGAATTAATTTGCATCGAATCGAATTTCTTCCTGGAATTCGCCGAATCAGCCGAATCGAATTTTTGAAAAATTCGCTCATCTCTAGTGGTAATCAAAACAGAAAATGGTCCCTCCTCCATATGCTCACAGTCGCTTTTGATGGGCAGATAGATCACCAAGTTTAAGAATTGACCTGGATCAACCCAATTACAGCAGACAAGGCTTCATGGGCATTCAGACTTACCAAAAACCTGTAAAGGGATCTGGTGTTCACTGGATCTACTGATGGTGAGGCTAGAGCTTGTACACGTGGCAACAAGCATAACCTCAAAGAATGTAGGGTACCCCCTGTGTGACTTCACTGTGCAAAAAGAAAGAACTATGCTACCATCATTCCACGGAGTGAAC